CATGGGCATGTCTTGGATGTCTCCAATGCAGGACCTCAGCCTGCAATGGCCCCCCCAGCAGTGATGAGGCTCCATCCTCTGCTGTGAGGGCCTCCATCTTCTCCCCACCTGTCCTATTGAAGTTCCAGCCAGTGCCCAGACCCAAAGACGACTCAGAAAACGACCCTGGAGGCATAGAGTCTGTGCCTCAGAAGAGGAGTCCATAATCTTGTGTTTACAGACTGTGGTCCAAGGAATGAATAAAGTTCCTGTGGAGGTGCCTTCCTCCTTGTGCTAGGCTCCTTGGGGGTTGTGCAGTTCCATTGGCTCCCTCCAGACTGAAGAGGTGGTCAGGGTAGTGCAGGCCTGACCCCCTGGGCCTGGGCCTGTATACAGTAGGTGGGCCGGTTGGCACTACTGTGAAGTCCCCTCACTTGTACTCTAACATGGCAATTCAGTCATGTGCACTTTGAAAGAGAAATGGGGTGAGGGAGGTTGCCCTTTGGTGACTGTAGCCCCTTTGGGCTTCTCTTGACCTGACTGAGTTACAAGTCTACTGGATTTTTCCTACACCTAGCCCCCAAACACAAGCCTTATCTGGAGGAAAATTAGCTGGCCTGTCAGTTTCCCTCTCTAAGGAATTTCAAAGATTATTCTTTATTGTTGCCTCATGCTGACTTTAGAACTCAACTTGCATGTGAGATTTAGTCCTCACTAAATGCCTGATGACTACAGGGCATTAGCAGATATTCATCGAGTCCTGGTGTATGCCCGGCACCTTGCTTGAGACTGGAGATAATAAACCAAGCAGTCAAGATCTGCCCTTAAGGAGTTTACATCCCATTGTGTGTGTGTGTGTGTGTAAACCACTACACAGACCAAATTACTACAGAAAATCCTATGGGAGATGATAAATCTTACTGGAGATATATGGATTGGGGTGGTCACAGAAGGGCTCTTGGAGGAGGTGACATCTATGTTCAAACCTAGAAGATGAGAAGAAGCCACAGATGAGGTGAAAAAGCGCGAGGACAACTGGCTCTGGGTCGTTGTTGGTTCCGTTCAGGAGAGTGAGGATTGAGGATAGAGGGGATCAGGAATTCTGGTTTGACCAGACATGTTAAATGAGTTCAGTGGCTACCCCAGTGGAGGTCGGGACTGCAGCGCTCGTGGTTTAGCGTTGAGGCCATGGGATACAAGTGGTGTTTAAAACCACAAGCATTAGGGGATGGCCTGTGGCTCACTTGGGAGAGTGTGGTGCTGACAACACCAAGTCAAGGGTTAAGATCCCCTTACCGGTCATCTTTGAAAAAAAAAAATAAATAAATAAAAATAAATAAAACCACTGAGTGTAGACGGAGGCCCAAGTCTGAGACTCGGGCAAACGTATTGATATGGCCCAAGGAAAGGGTCTGGCAGAAGAGACAG